CGGGGCCGGGGAACGGGGCCCGTCGCGCCTCGGGAGGGCAGTGGGCCCCGCCATGGCCTGGGGCAGGGGCCGGGGCCGTGTGAGTGCAGCCGGAGGTGCCTGTCTCGGCCTTTAGAGCTGGGGCCGGGGACTCCTTCCCCAGGCCGCGCCCTGCTGCCGCCTCACCTCTGCTCTTCCTTCACACTGTCCCGGGATGCTCACAGGAGCCCTGTGGTAGCTGGTGGAAGGGTGACCTGGCGCTGAGTTCCTAGTGCGGGTGGAATTCAGCAGTTACATTTCGTGCTGCCTTCTTGCCTTTCTCTTGGAGTGACTCTGGCAAGTGTGCGTTTCTTGCTAGGTGGTGGCGTTCGTCCCTGCAAATGTGTTGCTACCTGTTGTCATAAGCATCAGGCTCTCCCGTTGGAAGTGCCGGCTCCTATTGCATGCGATTACTTGCTTCTGCTAACTGACCTAATGCTAGGACTGTGTGCCTGGGGAAGAGGTGCACTCCAGACTTGGCTTAAATACAAGCCAGAAGTAGTAGTTATGTGGACTTGACTAGCTGAGCTGTGCTAATGGTCTGTCAAATACATCTGGATGTTACTGATTAGCATAGGTAGCAGCAACAGTGCTTTGAGATGTGTTTTCCTATCATAAGATACGAGAGTAAGGAATTTTTTAATTAAATTGGGAAAACATCAGCAACCCCCTTATCCATGAGCATTCTCATACTTGCATGGTAGGGTGGCTTTTCTCATTCTGCATTGCAAATTACAGGGGAATTATTAAAAGATTACTTACATTCAGAATGACTTAATTTTCTTAAGTCCTCTGCAATTTTGAAAAATGTAAAGTAACACTCAATAATGCTTTTCTGTATCTTTTTTAGAAAAAGTCCCTGGAGTCCATAAACTCTAGGCTTCAGCTGGTTATGAAAAGTGGTAAATATGTGCTAGGATACAAACAGACTTTGAAAATGATTCGGCAGGGCAAAGCCAAGTTGGTCATCCTAGCCAACAACTGTCCTGCTTTGAGGTAAGCAGATGTATGAAAAAAATTATTTTTAAAAGTAAGGCAGGTTCTTTTTACATGTACTTCATGTTAATTGCTACCATTAATTATTAATGCAGATAACTTCATGTTCCAGAGTGCTATAATGTAAGATGGGTTGTTTGGTATGGGTGTAATGAATTCAGGTTGGGATGTGTTGAAATGCTTCCCATCGTTTTTCTAGCTTTCTAATACAAAAGAGTTTGTACTAGTGAAGATTCTGGAAGCTTTTCACACTGTGGTAACATCCATTAAAAGTATAATGGGGCTGAATTCCTGTGTTTCTTTCAAAGTAGTGTATTGGGAAACTATTTTACCAATAGGGAAACTGGTAATTGACACTGATTTAAAATACTTGAAGTACCCAAAGTTTGCTGTCCAAGTAAGTTACAAACTAGGTTCCTGGTCTGTGAAACTGTCTTTTTTTGAGAATGAAATCTGTACTGACATTTTCCTTGTTGAATTTCTGGGCCCTTTTTGTCATCAAGGAATATTGACAGATTGAAGAAACTAAATAGAGAAAAACAACAGTAGGCATCAAGAAATTGCAGCACTGTTGCAGTTGGTAGCATGTTAATGGGAATCCCAGAAGTGCTTGAGGAAACAATATTGACCACTAGAATCACCTGGTGGAAATAGGAAGAGAAGGGTGTATAAATTGATTTTTTTAACAAATAAAAATAGACAGTTTCTGGCCTCTGGGTATCACCATTAACAGGTGTTGTTTATGTACTTGGGGTTGGCTCCTACAACCTTGTGGAAGTCTGGAAGTCCTGAATCCCCTTCTTCCCTGCATGTGTAGGAGCAGCCTCCAGGATTTGCACTCCAGAAGTGGGTTTGCTGTTGACACACCTTCAGTGTACTTCTGGATAAGGGCAGGGAACAGATGGGTGTTTCTTGGGGGGAAGGAAAACTCTGTAAGGTTCAAATGCGATTGGAGTTAAAGCTGCTCTTGCTGCATTATGTCAGTCGGAACTGTTGGTTGGAAGTGTAACCTCTAGCGTTGGAATTTCAGGAAGTCAGAGATCGAGTACTATGCCATGCTGGCCAAGACCGGCGTCCACCATTACAGCGGCAACAACATAGAGCTGGGCACCGCCTGCGGGAAGTACTACCGGGTGTGCACACTGGCCATCATCGACCCAGGTAGGTCCCTCGCGGCGCCACACCTCCCTTCAGCAGCACTGAGCAGGTGGCTTTGCTGTCCTCAGTCAGGTTTGATTCATCATTTCCTCTGAGCGAGATCCTTTTCTTTTGTGACTTGCGCATTTTTAGAACCTGGACTTACTGCTGCTTGTGTTTGCACGCAGCTCCTTTTACTGCTAAACCTTGTGAGCGTGCATTTTGTGTACCTGTTGGTCTGTAATTAGGTTTCAGTGGCTGGGAAGGCAACTTTGTGATGCCTGTTTCTGAGCCTGTCAGAACGTGAGTTTGTGTAACATGCTGTTTATGTCAGCCTTGTTTGACTGTTCTTAATCTAAGACAAAAGGATTGTGAGTTTTCCTGCTTCCCAGAATGATACATAAAAAAATAATATATGTGCAGGTGGATACTGATCCAGGGTTTAAAAGTATATTAAAAGTTTTATTTTAAAACAATAAATCTGTGTGTAATTACGATGGTTTGGTATTACTGTTTGTCCCAGAGAGATGCTCAGGTTCCTTATACTGTCCTGTAATGAGGTGACTTCTCATCCTCTTTCCATAATCTTCAAAGAGAAGAATCAATCTTCTGTTTGTTGAACAAATTGTATCCACATGGATTTAATGATGTCTGTAACAACTAAGTTACATTGGTTTAAGTTTGCTGTTTCTTCAGAAAAACATTATTTACCTTGCTTGTATTCAAATACTAGCTGTAAAATGTTACTTTTAGGTTTGATTTTGGGAAGGAACTGTAAGTAAATGTTCCTGCAGAGTAACGTCATGCGAATATTCTCGCTGTCCTGATATTGTTGTGATCAGGGGAGGCTAGACATTCGCTATATTAAAACTATGCATTGTGTCCTCCAGGACTAGATTGTTGCTCTAGTACTGGCTTTGGAAATGCTGGTGACAGGTACACAATTGCTGTAAAAATGCTGTGTATGGACTAGCAAAATACAGTTACAAGTATTTTTATCAAGCTGTCAATATGACTTGCTTTTTTCTAGACAGACTTTAAAGTTGTTTCCTGGTTGTAGAATCAGTGTATTGAGTTTTGGATTATTTTTACTTTTTGACCTATTCCTGTAAGATCTTTCTGTGGGTCCTCTTGTAACAACTTTTTTTTTTTGTTTTATAGGTGACTCTGACATCATTAGAAGCATGCCAGAACAAGCCAGTGAGAAGTAAATGCTGTAAAGGTGTTATTTCTACAATAAAACTGGTTACAGATTTGTTTTAAGAAAAACTTGTATTATACCTTTGCTGGTTTTGGGGAACAAAGTATATAAATGAAGATTGATTATCGCTGCTGTGTTTCCTGTTCTGTTAGAAATGATCTTCACAGGACAAAACTTGCCTATGTCTTTCTCTAGAAGTTGTGGAACTGGAGAGGTAAGTGAAGGAAGACTTGATCATGGCAAGTATGGTGCCAAACAGCAACAGTCTAGGGCTTCTTCTGGTTTAATTGAGGTGCCAGTGCTCTGCTGACATGCAGTAAAAGAAACACCTAACGAACATCATGATGTCCTGGTATCCTTGCTGAACTTTGAATTCTATTTGCCAAAGTATGCTAAGGCACAAGGTACCTTTAAAGCTTGTCGTTATGTATCCATGAGCACTCATTAGCTTACCTTAGATAATTTAATCTAGTTTTGCTGCAACTAATTCTGTTTTTGTTACAAAATGGATTAAGTGGTCTATTCCATTTGGAGTAAAGAGGCAGATGAATCAAAGCAGAGGATGGATTGCTGGAGTCTACCTATTAAACAACAGATTTGAATCAGTTGAAGAGAGTTTAAATACTGCTGGTAGTATGAAATTAAAGGTAGCAGAAGCAAAGTGTGCCTTTGCTGCTAAGGGGAAGGAGTAAAATTTCACAGAATCACAGAATTGTTAAAAGAGTTGGAAGGGACCTCTAGAGATCATCTAGTCCAGCTTTCCCACTGAAGTAGGATAACCTATAGCACCTTATACAGGACTGTATCCAGGTGGGTTTGGAGACTCCACAGCCTCCCTGGGCAGCCTGTTCCAGTGCTTTGTCACTCATTATAAGGAAGTTTTTTCTTATGTTTCAATGGAACTTCCTATGTTCTATCTTGTACCCATTGCCCCCTGGTTCTGACACTGGGAACTTCTGAGAAGAGCCTGTCTCCATCTTCCTTACACCCACACTTTAGATACTTTTGTATACATTGATAAAGAGAAGGCTGAGGGGAAACTTTTCCAGGCTAAAGAGTCCCACAGCTCAGCCTTTCTTCGTAAGAGAGATGCTCCAGTCCCCCTGTCATCATCCTCCTCCTCTGGACTCTCTTCAGTAGTTCCCTGTTTCATGGCACTCAGATGGCACTTCTGTTGGCCAGAATGGCTGGAACCAATTTGCTGGTTTTTAGTGTTTGACAAATAGGTGTGCAGCTAGTTGTACTGCCCAAATTATTTTGTAGTTAAAATATTAGTTGCATTCAACGACTGTGGAGAATTACAGAATGCTGACCAAGCAACAGTAGGGAGAAATTACATAGATGGGTCTGGATGAGGCAGGAAACTTGAAACTTGGGATTGTGATACCCTGATGATCCAGCAGATTCCCCCCCCATTTTGCACATTTACTTTCATCACGGTTTCAACACAAGCCTATCAGTTCTTATTTTTACTTCCAACTGATTTCATTAGTCTTAGTTGTTTGAAGGATGTAATCAGAACTTAATTGCTGTAAATGCTGTCCCACTGGTTCTGGTTTTATTTATGCATGTGTATGTATGTATAGAACTGTGTATATCTACACAGATAGGGTGCTTAAAATACTAGCAGAGTGAGTGAAGAAGGGAAATACAGAAAAGCATGCCAAATAAATTCATACCCTAAAAGTACTTCAAAACATGGAGGTTTCACTTCAAAAAATAACAGCACTTTATTATTTTGCATAGCTTATTTCAATTGTTTAGTTCTGCTTAATTAGAATTTTTGCTAGATACTAAATGGTTTACATATATATAAAATCTTTAACATATCTGCAGTCAATGCAAGATGGAACACAATATAGATGCAGGGATTCAAAATAGTATTTTCAACTTCAAGATGTGTTATTTCACTTTGAACCAGTTTAAGAAAATACCTCTGACAAGTTTGTATGTATAAATATACAGTGTAGTATACACTTAAACTTCTGATCAGTATTTTAGCCTGTTTTCCAAGTCTTCCATTCTCTTTGTCATTTCTTCCAGTAGAGAGAAGTTAAGGAAAGAGCTAGTGATAGTAAACAGTGTCAGCTGACTTACTTCTATGGTCCATAAACTTGTTCTTGTTTCTCCTCTTTGTTACCCTCCATGATTCCCAGTAGTTTCTGATAGAAAACTTCTCTGTATTTTCTTGTTCTGCTTTCATCAGCTGTGAGAAAGCTCTGAAGTCCCATTTATTAACAGGCATGGTGTTCAGGCTGCAGCTTTTTTAAAAGGCTGGTTCTGAAAACTGGCTATTTTCCTCTCTTAAAGCGAGCTGAGTATTTATCCTAATTAATGCTGTTTTTAATGCTCTTAATTTATATTTCATAATAAGCTAGTTTTGTAGCCTGTTCTCCCTCTCCCCACTTCTACCAGATCCCTGGGATGTGGACTGGCCAGCAGAGTTTTCTGCAGTTACTAAGAACTAGGATATCACTCAGTATGTGAGTTTGTCAGGTAAGTCAGAGAAACTGTTTATAATGGCAGGGAAACTGGATAGTTCTTAAGTGTTCAAAGCAGTGGTTGCATAGTATTCTGGGGAAGTGCTCACTGCTATTTCTATAAAAATGTAGATCTCTGCTTTAGTGTCAGCAGCTTTTCCATCACCTTGAGTCCTTGGACTCCAAAAAGTCATAGGGTTGCCTGCTCAAATTGTAAAGTAAAAGCATATGTTGCTTAGTCCTGTTCTTTCATTCAAAGAAAGGTCAGAGTTCCCTATAGCAGAAGATGACAGCAAAGAGGCCAAGGCTTGTGGTGAAGCAGGAAGGAGTGGTCTCCCCTGTTGGTATCTAGGTTGGAACTGTGCGGGTCTGGATAATGCTTTTAAGGATATGGGAACTGATCTAGAGATTTTTGCCCAAAGTCATATGGCAACTTAAGGGAAATATAAATGTTGAGTGTTTGAGGCACCTTATGTGATGGCTTTCTCATACTTGGCATGGAATACTTTAAAATCAATCAAGTCATCAGAACATGATTCCATGAGTCACCTGCTGAAGGGTTCACTTGGGATGGCTGCTGCAGCTGCACAGAACAGCTGGAGGTAAGGTCTGAACTGGTAGGCAGGTTAACAGAGCCTTCCATGGTCTTGGTGGCTGCTGTGGCTGCTGAGGGCACTTTTAGCCTGACTGGACAGACTTACCTCCACATCAGCCTGAAGCTGTTCTCTTGGAAGCAGTTATAAGCTGTTGGTATCACTGCAGTCTTCTGTGCAGAAAATAAGTGCTTATTGATCTTGCACGCAGTTACAAAACTTAAATAGGTAATGTCTTCTTACATTTGTCTGATTAGACAGAAGTAACTTTCATGAAGAAAACAGGAATTTGCTGCATAAATGCTGCATGATGCAGAACACTGCAGAAAGTTTCACTGCCAATTTGCTGCCTATCCTGAGGCATCTGGTGGATGTTACTATACAAGCAGTGCCCTTGGAAAGAGAAACAGGGAAAAGCTATAGAGCTGCACTTAACTAATTTTTATCTGTGTATCTGTTTATGCAAAGTGAATCAGACCTCAGTCCTCTGAATCTCCTCTTAATTTGCAGTATTGTTATTGTTTTAAATTACTTGCTGCATTTGATGCTTCACCAAGAAGTTCAGAAGGGAAGCATCTGTACTCTGACTCCTATAGGCAGTAGATGCAATTTCAAAGCCATCTGAAGAAATACCCTACAGCAGAGAGTGCTAGTCTTGAATTTGGGCAGTCATTTGTTTCCTGTCCCTGAAAGCCTGTACTGTTAGGGATTACTAAAAGTTAAGATCCTTATTAATACTTTGGTCCTTTCTGTGAAGGACACACAGGTTTCAAGTCTAAAAGCCTTGCTTCTTGGAGATTAACCTCTATCAAGTAGTTTAGCTTTTCATTACAATAATGAGCTACAGAGACAGCTTACACTTGATGTGTTATAATTTAACCTGCCCCTTACGTGATACGTGTAAGGAACAATTACTGTGAAAGGATATATCGCTGCGTGAGTCTTCTGACTTCATTTGTTGCATAGTTCTGGAACGTCATGAGGTTTTCACATTTACACTCTTCTTTATCTTTTGAAGCTTTTGCTGAAAAACAGAGACAAGCATAGGCTAAGTGCTGAAACAATTGAATGGGACAGGGCAGGAAATCACAAGGACTTATAAATGCAGAGTAGGTTTAATACAGCTTCCTGTTCTCTAAACAGGTCAACATCCAAAAGAATGCTTGGGGGCAGATTTTGTAAATGCTGGAAAATGGTACACAACACTTAGGCCTATATATTCAAAGAGCACCCTGGATTATTCTAAACAAAGGTAACCTGATTACCTGTCGTTCTTGTTGAGTGAGTGTGACTGTCTTCAAAAAGGTACTGGTGGTGTATTGCAAGATTGGGGCAGGCAATGACATCTGTGATGGCTATTGTGGTTGATTCAGGTCCTGCAGGAAACCCCCCAAAAGTCTAAAAATCAAACCCACTTTGCTTAAATATACAGTATATTTTTCTACTCACATGCACTGAGTTTTCCTCAACTAGTGAGTAATCTCACTGAATGCAGTGAGGGTCATTCAGGGAGAGGACTAGGGATACAAAGATGTGAAGGAACGAAGCTTTTGGGCTGTATTTACTGTATGCATGATTTAAGTTGTGGGTTGCAGAACTGAAAGGGAGTTGCAAGGGCTTCTGTGAGAAATAGAAGTGATTGAAAGCTAAACATGCTTTAAAACAGCAAGCACAGTGTTGAAATACAAGTTTTCCCATCAAGAGATTAATGTGGATGGTGTGAGAATCATGCAGCTGTGCATTTATTATAGCAAATCTGAATATTTTCTTTTTGTGCAAAGCAGATTTTCAGAAAGGAGTTGGCCTGGAAGAGGGTGGGAAGGGGCATAGGATGAACAGTTCCCCCACAGGTGAATTGTTAGAGTTGTCCACAGAAGGTGGCATGAAGAGGCAACTTAGCAATGATCTGGAGAGACAGCAGTACACTGAGTTCAGGCAGCCAACCTGAAGGCTGTGGGCCAGTCTTATGAAGCCTCCCAGATGATGAATCCTGCTGGTGAGCTGACTCTTTCAAGGCTGGTAAAAAGAAAGTGCCAAAAAAAAAAAAAAGATCACAAAAGGAGCAATAAAAATGTTCATGTTCCCTAGCATTGGAGATGCTGGGTACCAGTAACTTGTGTGCTTGTCTCTTGTAACACATGAAGAATGCCTCATGCCTGTGCAGTTAAAAAGAGGTCCACTGTTAATGGAAACTCCAGGATCAACTCAGACTATCAGAGGAACTCTTCCAAAACCAGAGGTGCTTTATGAATAGATTAATAGTAGTAAAGAAATCAGCAACCTACTTTGTGTCATTTAGTGAAAACTCTTGCATGGTCCATTGTCATCCATCAGTCCTTTGGGATGAGCTGAATACGAATAAAAACTGCTTGGAGAAGGAGGAAATTTATTACTGTCCTTCATTTTTTTCCTTTATAATGGAAAACACTGAGGGAGTTTGAGGGTGTTTAAGTGAGAAGGGTGCAGCAGAGATTATTTGATGCACTATAATTACAAGTTTCTACTTCGTGAAGAACAGCCTTTAAAATGTAGTTTTATTTCAGAGCATGTACCCATCTTTTCAGTCAAAGGTGGCTGGCAAGAAAAGGAAACCTGTTTCACATGTAGCTACAGCCACCCCTAGGGTCCTTCTGTGGACGACAGCTTTCTTGCCTCAAGAGGGGAGGGTAGAGGCAGTTTCGGTTCCTTAAGTACGGGTTCTTTCTAGAAAATACCTGCTTCACCTTCAAAGAACTGTGGAGCCCCTAAGGCTCCAGAAGGGAGCTCCCTAAGGGCCCAGAAAAGCTGAAGATCATATATTTAACAGCTGCACAACTTGATCAGCTATGCCAGGGAATGGTTTCCCCTCCCTGCGAATATACGGAATTCTTTCACTGAAAGTGAATGCGTGAGGGTAAAAAGTGATGGTGCAGTTTCCTGATGTGCCAGGAAGGTGCAGTAGGGAGGTGGAAGATGCTTATGGGCCCTGCAGGTTTGTTATAGCTATTTGGATCTCTGTTGATCTAGTGACTTTTGGCAGATGCAGGTTAATATGCAGATGTGCTAAGTTGAACTGTGAAGATGATGAGCCCCTCTTGGTGGGGCTGGAATGATTAAACATGAGGAACACGGAATGAACAGAGATGAGTGGTCGAGTAAGAAGACTGGAGTTCAGTGGGCAGAACTACAATGTTTATGTAGGTTTAAAAGTTTGTGCAGGAACCTGATGGTGGAAGGAACACAGATTTTGGAGAAGAGTTCAGGGCAGAGAGGGGTGGGATGAGATCATGAGGTAAGTAACGAAACAAACTGTGAGGACTCCAGCAGAAGAATGCTCAGTGGGGAACACGGATGGTGATATTTTCAGCACAGGAGGGAAGAAACGGGTAAGACAAACCTTGAGTGTTTGACCCTGGATAAGGACTTGCTCTGGAAATCATTTAAGAGTTGTAGGCTAATGAGGAGGCTGTCTAGGAAGGGCAGAGGACCTGACCTGAAAAGTTTGAGCTTTGGACACTGGACAATAAGTAATTGGGATTCAGAGGTAAGTGGCAGGAAAGGATAGATACACTGGTAGAGTGACCAATGGTCTCCAGTTTGGGATAGTAACTGGGCATTTTGGAAACTTCTCTTCAGGCTTCAGAAACTGGTTGAGGCCCAAAGATTTCTGATCTCAATACCCCTGTAAAGCTGTGAGTAATCAGACAAGTAGCAGATAAAGGCTTTAACCAGTCCCTCGGTGAAGTTGGTGCAGAGAACATAAACAAATTTGTTAGGTAACAATGCTAAAAGCTGGCTGTTTGTTTTTACTATTCTGTTTTGTAAGAAAACCTAAGGATTTCATTAGGAAAAGCATGTGAGAAGGTGTCTTCAAAAAAAGCGGGTCTTCAAAAGCAGTGGCTTACTATTTGCAGCAGTGATAACAATCTGCAATTTGGAAGAACAGAATGTTAACCAGCAGACTGCTGAATACTGTCATCTGATCAGGGCTGGGATCTTGTGACAAAAAATAGTCTGTGACTGTGTAATTGAAGGGTCTCATAATGCACATGCTCAGAACGGGTGAAGACGCAATCCTGACAAGTGTTTAATATGTAGGCATTGCTGTAGCCTCATTAGTGCTTCTTGTCAGATGAGAAATTAACATTAACCAAGGCAATGAATGGGAACCTTCCAGCTGAATCCCTCTTAGTAAGAGGCAAAAGAGGAAACAACTTTTTTTTTTTTTTTTCTACTAGTCATCAAGCATAAATAACAGTAATCAGCAGCTGTTCTATAAGGGTGATGCTTTTTTTTTTTTTTTTCAGAATGAAAGGAAAAAGCCTTACCCCAAAAGAAATTTGGAGGGCTTCTGCTTTACTAGGAAACATACAGACCATCCACAGCTGGGAGATGACAGACTTTGCCAGTGGAGTCTATGAGGTTCAGAGGGTCTCCCACTGCCCTCACAGGCTGGAGCCTCAAAACTCCTCAGCTAAGGACCAAGGCTGGAGTAAAAAAGGAATCACTGTTGTTGCAAAGGAGGGAAATAATTCAGGCTGGAAATCAAAACAGAAGGGGGAACAAAAAAAGAACTTTCAGCTTGTGTAAGAGGCTTGGAGGCAGAATTTCTGGTGGACTGAGTTGATGAACAATAGGTATTCCTGGAGCATCCAGAAAAACAAGGCGGGGTCAGTCCTCAGTTCACAGGTTTGAGACATTGCCTGTTGGTGAGAGAGGACGAGGGCAGAAGCTGAGAGGCACCAGCTCTGCCCAATTACTAGAGACGTAGTCTAGAAACCACCACAAAGGGGCAGGATTGGCTTATTTTTCATATAGTAAGTCATGTAGTTAAAAAAAAACAGTAAAAAATCGTGGTTGCTAAATACTGTGAAGGACACATTTTCATCACCGAGCTCTGGAGTTTGCTAATGAGAGAATTATTATACCAGTTGCCAGATAGTTTTGGCTTTGGCATCTCCCCAAGCTTTTAAGGTGACATGCTGTCATCAGCAGATTATCTCCCTAGTAAGAAAGTTAGTTGAACAGACTTGGTTTCATGTTATCATAGTACTTTGTGTTTCAGAAGTATGGAACTAGGACTTCTTAGGATGGAGAGAAACACAAAGAATATACAACCTAGGAAACATTCTCAGATGCTTTTTTCCAGAGTCTTCCTTCATATCTGTATGAGGAGGAAATGCACTGCTGCTTGCCGGCCAGTTTTACACAGTAACATTATAGAAGAAAATAAAACCTGTTTGCATTTAACTCAAAGAAAACCAATTAAATAAAAGCTAGTGAAAAGGCAATAATCTTGCACGATTCTAGTGCTATGACTGAAATTATTCACATTATTTGATTCAGGTACCACTTTGAATTTACAAATAATACAGAGTCCTGGGAATGTGCGAGTGGGAGAGACGTGCTGTCCTCTCCCTGGCGGAACAGCTTTTGTCCCAGCTCACATTCCCCCTTCCCCTTGCAGAACTTCAGCTGGGAATGTTTATATAGAGGCTGCGTGTGCCAGAGTGAGGAAGGGTGCTTTCTGGAACAAACCTTCTACATTTGTGGAGCAAAACTTGGAGCTTGGGCGTAACTGAGATCCACTTTGTAGATGTAAATGTTTGCTCAATTAATTATTTTTAGTCTTCTCTAAATATGCACAAATCCTGATTATTTGTTTTGCTGTGGTTTAGGTTTTTGCCATGGTCTTAAGAGTAATTTTTTTGTTCTCACTAAGACACTACAAATCCGATTATTTTCCCACATTCCTAATGAGGTAGATCACACTCCTTTGGCAGGGTGGGGTTTGGTGCATGGCTGACTTAACTGCAGGAAAAGAAATGAGGGAGCAATTGAGTTTTCCAGCACAGAGGTGTACATTTTATGAAAACAAAGGAAAGACAAATATTATATACCTCTACCTGGTCATAGATTAACAGTATATATTGCTCACATATTAAAAGGGCAGGAAAATTACCTAGAGTGACTTATGCCTTGCAATGCCTGACACCAGTGACACGTCACCTCTACAAAGTGATATTAGTTGTACGTTTAGGCCTGCAAAAATCCAGAAGCATTCATTCCTTTTTTATCTCAATGAAAGTGGAATACCTTCACAGATTTGGGCTCTTAGATCTTCACTTATGTCCTCCATCGCTGTGAAATCCTCAGCATAGAAAAGATGTTTATATGGTGGCTCAGAAGCAATTTCCAGCAATTCTTCCTCAATTGCTTTTCCTATTCCAATGGCATAGATAATTATACCTAGATTCAGAAGAAATTGCACATAATTATTACAGCAGCAGTACTAAACCCTTGTTCCTCTGTGAAAGGAAAATATGAGCATTAGTCTTTTTAGAGAGAGCACAGGAAATGTATATGCTGTGTGACTTCAAAATTGGTTTTGAGCAGGCTTAATATGGTTTAGTTATTTAGAGATGTGTAGGAACTTACTACTTTGCTGTAATTTAACAGATAAGCTAGAAATTGCAGTTGCGTGGCCACTACTGATAGTAAATTAAGCCAGAAAGAGTACTGCAAAACATCAAAGAGAATCACACAAGTCAGCTCTGCAGCTGCATGGAAAGTTTCTGGTTTATGTAGGTCTTTGTACATAGTGTGTGTGCAATAAAGCTAATTACTGGGTTGATGGGAAAACCTGTTAACTGAGATCAGATCCTTGCACTCTCAGGGACACTGGTGGCCTAGGAGGCACGGTAAAGCCACCCAGACCTAAGAGGGGAAGAACAGGGGAAAGAAATGACCTGTGGGGCTAGGAGAGAAATAGCCTTAAAACAGTAAGTTTGCAGGTGATACAAAGTTGGGAGGAAGTGTTGATTTGTTTGAGGATGGGAAGGCTCTGCAGTGGGATCTGGACAGGCTGGATCAATAGTCCAAGGCCCAATTATATGAGGTTCAACAAGGCCAAGTGCCAGGTCCTGCACTTGGGTCACAACAAGCCCAGGCACCTAGACAGGCTCGGGGAAGAGTGGCTGGAAAGCTGCCCAGAGGAAAAGGACCTGGGGGTGTTGATTGACAGGTGGCTGAATATGAGCCAGCAGTGTGCCCAGGTGACCAAGAAGACCAACAGCATCCTGGCTTGTATCACCAATAGTGTGGCCAGCAGGAAAGGGGAAATGATTGTTCCCCTCTACTCTGTACTGGTGAGACCACACCTCAAATACTGTGTTCAGTTCTGGGCCCCTCACTCCAAGAAGGACACTGAGGTGCTGAGCAAGTCCAGCAAAGGGCAACAAAGCTGGGGAAGGGTCTGGAGAACAAGTCTTGTGAGGAAGGGCTGAGGGAACTGGGGATGTTTAGCCTGGAGAAAAGGAGGCTGAAGGGAGACCTTATAGGTTGGAGCGAGGGTAGCGGTTGGTCTCTTCTCCCTAGTAACAAGCAACAGGACAAAAGGAAGTGGTCTCAAGTTGCACCAGGGGAGGTTTAGATGAGATATTAGAAGAAAATTCTTCAATGAAAGGGCAATTAAACACTGGAATAGGCTGCCCAGTTGAATCACTGTCCCTGGAGGTGTTTAAAAGATGTATAGATGTGGTGCTTAGGAACATGGTTTAAGCACTGGACTTGGTAGAGTTAGGTTAATGGTTGGTAGAGTTAGGTTATGGTTGGACTTGATGATCTTAAAGGACTTTTTCAGCCAGAACATCCCTGTGACTCTGTACCAGGGATGCTTGGAACAAGCATTATTCTAGCAGAGGTGCTAGGGAGGAAAGTAAGGTATATTTGTAGTTTTCCTCACTCTGGAAACAGGGAAGGAGGAAGTGGTTCCCAACCCTCTCATTGGGCAGGTTTTGAACAAGCAATTAATACAAAACATAGTCATCTTCAGCATCTCCTTTTTTAGCAGTTTTTTTTTATTCTTGTGAACATATGATCTGATGCATTTCTCTTTACATCAATTCTAGCTTAGAAAGTATCCACAACTAGTACTAATTTTGTGATTCATAAAACAACTATAAGCTTCATAGTATTTCAAGCTCTTTTATAAGATTCAGGAGCAGAAGTTGCCTTCTCAGCTGGTTGGTTTCAGATAAAACATAGGATGAGGAGGTTTGATATCTATTATCACAGGGTAATACCAGCTACACACTCACTAATTGCAACTCTAACCTTTTTGCTGAAGAATCCTGGGCCTGGTAACATCATAAAATATGTATTTCCCAACTCCTTAACATGAAATGTAAGCATCTCCTTTTTGTCATGAATCTGACTACCATTGCACTTTAGCCAGGAAAGCAAAACATCCACCAGAAGCTGATTCAACTTAATGAATGGACCAGTCATGCTGAGGTCTGTTGCTTTTTAAAGACTTGGAGATACCAGTGATGAAGCATTCAAGGCCAATTTCATATTCAGCATTACTACACTGCCTACACTGTAATTACACAGGGGAAGGATTTGGCTTCTAGCATTACAAGTATGAGTGTAAGCAGTCCAGAGCAGAGGTTTCATTCAGCAAGTAAGCAAGGTTGGCTTGTATACTTTCCCTCTTCAGTCCTGTAAATCTTCCATGTACTTTTCCAGATCTCACTAGTTAGCATATAAATCTTTGGTTTTGTTTTTAAATATTATGATAAATATTTTTAGAACACTTAATTTACATATGCTTGTAATGGCACCCTTGTCAGCACATGCTTTTCTTATATCCTTGGACATTTTCCCCTTCTTACAGAGAGGTATCCATCCTGACCAAAGCTTCACTAATCATGTATCAAGTTATGATTGATACAACAAGTGAATAAAAGATAAAGGATGTGCAGCATCTTCTAAAGTCTGGCTATCTTCTCTGTGTTGTGGGCCATCAGCCATAGTCCTTAAAGCAGTTTCTTATAAAACAAAATGTTTTACAAAGGAAAAAGGAATCCTTTATTTTATCAAAAAGTTCGGCAACCTGTTCCAGCATCTCACCACCCTCACAGGAAAGAACTTTTTCCTAATGTCCAGCCTGAATTTTGCCTCTTTAAGCTTCAGCCCCTTGTCCTCTCACTACACACCCATGTAAAAAGCCCTACCCCAGCATTCTTGTAGGCCCCCTTCAGATACTGGAAAGTTGCTATAAGGAAGAAATGATACTACTACTGCTACTGCTACTGCTACTAAATAAGATACAAGGAAGAAATTCTTTAGTGTGAGGGTGGTCAGACACTGGAAGAAGTTGCCCAGGGAAGTAAGTTGTGACTGCCCCCTCCCTGGAAGTGTTCAAGACCAGGTTGGATGGGGCTTTGAGCAACATGGTCTAATATTAGGTGTCCCTGCCTATGGTGGGGGGTGGCAACTAGATGATCTTTAAAGGTCCCTTCCAACCCAAACCATCCTATGACGATGATGAAACAGAAAGAGAGCACTGCAGCTATATCCTTTTCTAAGAGGACCCACCTTCCTTCCAGAACACCATCAACACTGTAAAATTTGTTAAAATACAAAATATATGTAAATAAACATACAACATAATCAATTATTACCATAGTACTTCTCAGGAGGATAGGTGTCTGTATTTTGAAGAGACAGGTTGGGGTTTTTTTTGTTTTGTTTTCTTATAATTTTTGTTGAAGTTCCTACTGTTCCCAAATTTCTGTATCAAATGTCTGTCCTTAGTGGCTGTGTTCAGGGCACTGCATGGCATGCCATGGGGTAGTACCACTACCTGTGGATGACACAGAAGCCCAGTGGTGTGACACTCATCGTGGCCCTCCCACTATGGGTGACATCTATGCTTGTAGCAAAGCCTCCTGCAAACAGCAAAGATCTGATGTTCTCCTACAGTGGTCACTAGCCACACTGCTATGGCAAATGTTCTCATGATTAGCACGCTCTGTAGCACATCCATGCTATCACCACATCTTATTTCTAGCAGTATTTCAGAATTAGTCAAAACCCTCTTCACTTACCACTTCGCTTTGCTCTCGCAGCCCACTCGGAGACTTCATCTTGGGCTCGTCCGTCCGTAAACACGATGGAGATTCGAGGGACATTTGCTGAAAATGGCCTTGCTCCTTCTGTTTCTGTGAAGCTTCTCTCAAACATTTGCTTCAGAGCCAGTCCTGTCATGGAACCTCGCCCCATGTATTTCATTTGTGATACAGCTTTCTTCATGTCTTTGGCTGAGCTGAACTGCTTCAGTGTAAACTCAGTGCGAACTTCAGTGGAATACTGAAGCAAACCAACTCGAGCAGCTTTGGGTGAAATCTCAAGTGAATCCAAGATTCCTGAGACAAACTGTTTTACAATTTCAAAATTATCCTCCCCGAGACTTTTTGATCCATCAATCACAAACACTAGGTCAACTGGGCCTTCAGTGCATCCTGTGAAATAAGCAGCAGAGTGTGCAGATTATTAAAACATTCCATGAAACTGAAAAAGTGATCTAGACACCCAAGGACCACATAAATTGAGAGGTCATCTAGAGTACCTTGTTCCTGCCTCATCCAACCTTGTCAGTGTGTCTAAATATGTTGTGTGCTGTCTGTATCAAAAGCTGAGGGAGCCTATGACCAAGAGTTTAATAAAAATAAAATCACAGTGAATATTTACTGAGACATAGTGCCTTGCAGAGCCCTAAAACTCTTAAAAATACAGCAACAATCAGCAAATTTTAAGAATGACTGTAAAGTGGAGAAAACTGCATGACTGAAGAATATAGAATCATAGAATGGTTTGAGTTGAAAGGCACCTTAAAGATCATCTAGTTCCAACCCCCCTGCATGTGCAGGGACACCTCCCACTAGACCAGGTTGCTCAGAGCCCCATCCAACCTGGTCTTGAACACTTCCAGGGATGGGGCTTCCACAATTTCCCTGGGCAACCTGTTCCACTCTAACACTAAAGAATCTCATCCTAAGAGTTGCCATAATTTTTTCCAGGGATAGACCAGAATGCTAACTGCATTCATTTAGGTGACCAGCACTGAAAGATGTGGAAGAGAATCACCAGAGCTGCATTTGTGTTGCAGAAGTAGCAAAAAAGTAAAAGTGGTAAAAAGAAATGGGTCAGTGGAGCCTCACCAGGAGTTATTTGGAGTGGCAGGGAACAGTGAGGCAAAAGCTGAAGAGCCTGGTGATGGCTGAGTGAGAAGATTTTAGGTAGCCTGCCCTAGAGTTTAGGATGAGGTTCAAGTCTGGGGACAAAATTCAGACAATGCACATGTTTTTATACCATAAACTTAAACCTCTAGTGCCAGAAAAACTGCAAAAAAAAACCCCTATAGATGAGAGTGTAAATGCTAGAAATGTGCTTGGCTCCTAAATATGGAGCAGAATTGTTCATATAAGTTTTTTTACTTGCATTTCTAACAATCTAGAAGGCTTATGTATTGCTGAAATTAACCTTTTCTGGTTTACACTTTAAAGCTGGGATTTTGTCAGGAGACTGACAGATTTGGAGTTCTCATAATTTTTGGCAAGTGCACACACAAAAATCTGAGCAGTACAAACTGTGCCTCAATGACAAGATGAGAGAACTTGGGTACTAGATGATGTCTTCAAAGCTCAGATTGGTTCTGCAGGGTGGTTTTTCTTTTTATGCTGTAAAGCAATTGCCTCCAGGAGGCACTGACTCGTGTACTTTGTGCAAGGGGTTGGCTGCAGAGATGCTCAGCTCCTATTTAATCAGTGTGACTTCAGGGAGAATTTACCGTACTAAGGAATGTAAGATTTGCCTCTTAGTCTGGACTAAACAAACTTTGATTTCCACTCATCTCTGATGTTCATATAGCAAGAACTGTGCAGCAGAAGTTACTTTTGATTGCAGAAATTGCTGAAGATGTCTGTTATCAAGTCAGTGTAGGAGTAAGGATTTTCCAGCTTTAAAACTTGGGCTTTTCTTCTTAGACAATACGTCTATTTTAAAACTGCTGTCCAAGAATTCCTTTCTGCAGCCATCTGAGGAAAAGATGTTTCACACATACTAAGGTGATGGAAATGCAATTTATGTGGGTATCAGAACCACCTTTATGGAAGTCAGGACAAGGCACCAGTTAATGGTGAATGGTTTTAGTTAGGATTGAGGTCAGCCATGAACATGTTAGCATTCTTTTGGAAATAATAGCCTCTGCAGCTAAGGCATCCATTTTTGCAGAATAAATGTTTCCACTGAGTTTTAGTAGAAGAATTTCTCCTCCAAGTATCAAGGGGTGATGTGATACATGGATGTCGTACTCTAAGCGTGTCGTGTTAGAAAATGAGCAAATAGAATTAAGGATATTTTAAAATGAAGTATATCAAGATTAAAGCTCCACAGTATATATTAATCTGATTAAAGTGCACATTCCTTGATAATAAGATTTCACTTTGGCTTTTTTCCTGGTGTTTGGTAAGAATTGTTATCATACTTGATGCTGTACCAAAACAACTGTTCCGCTTTGTTAGTTTTTTTTGCTTGCAAGAGCATCAAGTTAATTGTTCAAGACACTTTCCATCACCCTCACTAATGCTTTGAGCTTTTAAATAATGTATCATTATTGAAGTGAGGCATGTTTTGAAGAGAGGTCAGGTCATTTTAGAAATTAAAGAAACAAATGCTTTCTAAATAAAATGTACCTACTTCTGCATGTTTTCTGATCATCTTTTAGAACATATCCCTCCTGGCATCTGCAGATATATGAATCATCATTATTAACACACATATGTTCACAACCATGGACAACTGATTTGCAGACATCTTTACCTAGAAAAAAAAAATATAAATTTAACATATTTATAAATTCAAGGACTGCAAACGTGATATTTGAAGAATGTCTGACAAAGGAGTTAACATTTCTGTTCATTTATGCAGCAACACGAGAGAAGAGCGGCCGACAGACACACTTAGCTACTTACTTCGACATGTTTTCCCATCTTGTCTCAGGACAAAACCTTCATGGCACTGACAGCTGTAGGAGCTGTTACTGTTAATGCACACATGCTCACAGCCATGGTCGATGGATTTACACAGGTCTTTACCTGAGAATTGTTAGGAGAATTTCCTTATTAGACCATTTCTCAAACGCAACATGTGTGAACAAGCTTTGAGTGAGATTAAGTCTGTTATTTCTTTTATGCCTTAAAAGATATATTCCCCATAAAGTTTCAGCTACTCACTCCTGCACGTTTTCCTGTCTCGCCTCAATATAAATCCCTTGTGACACTGACAGGTGTATGAATCGCCAGTTGGAACACAGACATGTTCACAACCATGGTTGACTGTTTTGCAGATATTTTTACCTTGGAATAATGAAAATTATATTTAGCACAGTTAACTAGGTAAATAACTTCTACAAAATGTAAAATGTAAAAATCAAGGCAATAATCTTCCATTTAGGGAGCTCACTTCCATTAAGTGGCTTCTGTACTCAAGACAAATATAACACTGCTGTTGCATAGTGTATTACATTAACAGATCAGCAAGAAAAAACAAAGATTAAAAACTTACTTCTACAAGTTTTCCCATCTTCCCTCAGTATGAAGTCTTCATCACACTTGCAGATATAGGAATCATTGGTATTAACACAAGTATGTTCACATCCATGGTCAACTGAGTTGCAAGCATCTTTATCTGAGAAGAGTGGGTGGAGATGACAAAATCACAGAATATTAGGGGTTTGAAAGGGACCTCCGAAGATCATCGAGTCCAACCCACCTGCCAGAGCAGGACCAAAACCAAAACCACAACTAGGGCAGATCACTCAGAAAGGCATCCAGACAGGTCTCAAAAGTCTCCAGAGTAGGAGACTCCACAGCCTCTCTGGGCAGCCTGTTTCAGTGCTCTGCCACCATCACAGTGAAGAAGTTTTTCCTCATGTTGAGGTGGAACTTACTGTGCTCTAGTTTGAATCCACTGTCCCTCGTCCTGTCACAGGGCACAAGTGAAAAGAGGTTGTCCCTGCCTTCTTGATGCCCAGCCCTCATGTATTATAAACATTAACTAGATCCCCCCTCAGTCTTCTCCCTAGACTGAAAAGCCTCAGGTCTCTTAGACTTTCCTCCTAAGGCAGGTGTTCCAGTCCTTTAATCGTGGTGAGGTGATGTTTGTTAGGGAGACACAGTATATTTTATTTACCAGCTCAAGTAATTAGAAATCACAAACATACACATTTGCAAACACTCACAGCCACAAAACTTAAAAGCCTCAAATAAAAACATTTTTTTGTAGCTCAGGCTACTCACATCTACATGTCTTTCCATCCTCCTTCAGTATGAATTTTTCATGACACTTGCAAATGTAGGAATCTTCAGTATTCACACAAACTTGCTCACAGCCATGTTTGACTGAATTGCAAAGATCCTTGTCTGCAAACAGAAGAGTTGGTAGTCAACATACATCAGCAGAGGGCTTGATTATATGTGTAATTCATTAAGTTAAGTTCTCATGCTACTTACTTCTGCAGGTTTTCCCATCTTCTCTCAGTAGGAATCCATCATGGCATTTGCAGATATACGAATCACCAGTATTAACACAAACATGTTCACAGCCATGGTTGACTGATTTGCAAAGATCTTTATCTGAAAACAGAGGACAGCTCTTACTGGTTAATGCAGTTTTACACAAGCATGAGTGCAGATAAAAAGTATGCTGATAAATATTAGACTACTTACTTCTGCATGTTTTTCCATCTTCTCTTAGCAGAAATCCCTCCTGACACTTACAAACAAATGAATCACCATCATTAACACAAGCATGTTCACAGCCATGGTTGACAGATTTGCAAATATCCTTGCCTGGGAATATTTACATAATATTTAATGTAGTTTGCTAGTTAAACTTTTTTTTATAAATACAAAGGCTGTGGGGCTAATCCCACAAGCAAAGAAAGATGGAAACCTGCAAACTGAAAGCAAATCTCTGGCTAGTTAAATGATGAGCAGCTTAGCTGCCATGGAGCATGAGTTCTTTACCATCTGAGCAGAATTATATGGTTTGGAAGGCCTCCCACTGACAAGAAATCATTCCAGGATTAATCTGACCAAATTAGGGAGGACGACTTCACATTAAGAGAAGTAAGGGTAAAAGAAGGGAGTAATTTAGTATAGTCATTTAGCACAAATTCAGGCTGGTAAAAATAAAATTAAACAAAACTTTGCAGGACAAGAAGCAAAATATTTATTTAATGACTTTACATCAATGCCAAGATCCTGCATAAGCAAACCCAGAAGAATAGGAACTACTCCTTTAAGATGATAAATAAAATCCAACTAGTATTTCTGAAAATTGATGGAAGTATTTGAATGACTGCAATGTTAAAATCAGTTGCTTAAAACCTCTTCAAGAAGAACAGATGGGGAGAAAATATGGAAGGAAATGGAACCAGCTATCAGCATTCCCCATTTCTTTTTCACTGCAACACAAAAGAAATTCTCAATTGTTAATGTAAATGTTAACCTTCACATAGAAAGTAGAATGTAACTGACAGCCAAGTTCAGATTGACTCTTCATCAAAATACTTAGGTTTAATATGTAGGGAAGGAAAACTCATGTCTTTATAAGAATGTCAGTCTGAGCCAAATTACTTGGAGGTCTCATGCTGCCAATACCAAAGACTACTAGAGAGGACAACCTTCTAAGTCAACAAGCATTATATTTAAGACATGGCAATCTAAACTAGATCCCATTATAGCAGATAAAAGAAGAATTTATCATGTAAGTAAAATTTAGCATCTGCTTATACAGAGCTGTGAGCAACTCAGACACATTTGTTGTGTACAAACAGAATCAAATACAAACCAGCAGCAGACATGGCTATTATTTCAGAAGGATGAATTTCACATAGCTGAAAGCAAATATGAACCACATTCTTCTGGGATGGGGGAGAGAGTAGTAAAAAATAATAAAATAAGTGAATGATTGCAGTATTTAAGGTTATTTTAATAGATAGCTCTCAATAACAGTCCCATAACCTAAATAGAATGCCAGAATGGTTAAAAAAACAACCTCTGTCAGAAACTGAAGTTGAAAACAGTTAAAGAATTTGAATAATGATTGAAAGAAAGGAACATACACAGTATTTTCTGAACATAAAAACATTAGGAATTTGAAACCACTGAAATAAGATGATAATAAAATAAAGGACAGTATTAGTAAGTTATGTAGGCTATTACAAAAAAAGGCATTATAACAATGTATTGTTCATTAATAGATACAAATGCTAGAATTGCCAATTTTCATGCAGAAACATAAAAAAAAATTAGTGTATTTGCATCTGAGCTTATGAGATAGGCTACTGTTGATATTGTCGGGACGAAGAGTTTGATCAGCTGAGAAACAGGTCACCTATTGAAAACACACACTTTTAAACTATAACTCCAGGTAAATTGCAGGGAAGACTTGCAGAAAGAGCTGGCTGAGAAACACCTTGAATGCTTAGTGTTATTTTTCAGTAATTCCTAGAACTCCAAGGAAGCCCCAAAACACTGTGCTGTTTCCATCCCCAGTGGATGCACCCACACTGAAAAAATACTATTGTTCTAGTACTTGAAAAGGATGAGTAGTTAATTGTGAGCCTGTCAGCTTGACATTGATCCACATTAAAATAATGGAATAGATAATGTGGAACTTGATTCAGAGTAAAATCAAAAAAAGAAAATGAATATCAATCAACCCGGTGTTATGGAAAAATAGATCCTGGAAAACTAAATACCTTTTTTAATTGCTTATAAGGTTCATAAAGCTCATGCTGTTCATACAATGAAGCATTTAGTAAGGCAGCAGTCTTGGTATTTATTTTGTTCAAGAAAACAGAATCAACATGATACAGATTAACACTGGCTAGAGAGGTATTTGGAATAAATTGTAAATTGGGCAACATCAAGTTGCTTTCTTTCTAAGAATTTGCCCTGCTCCTCTAAGACTTGATATTTTTACGAACACCTCAAAATAAAATACTGATGAAGTTCGGCGGTTACTCCAGTTTTGAAAGTAAATAAAAATAGAGAAGCTGCTGATAAAACAAGACATTAATCTTTCTGCAAGCTGGATAACAGCAAATCATATGCATATTAAAATAGCCAGAACTAAGCTTATACATTTAGAAAATGAGGGCTATACTTACAGGATGTGGGACACCTGTGTGACTGAGAGTCTGAAACAGCTTCTGATATGGTAGATAACTAACTGCACACAAGCAGTAGCAGAATATTTTGGTCACAGACTAATGATATCTTTGGTTATGAAAAAAAAATAGATTAAAAAAAAGATAAATGGGAAAAAGATGTGGGTAGATTCAAATAAGAATTAGGTATGTTATAGTTCCTCTACACAGACCCTGCTGTGTCTCAATTAGAAGACTGTTGTGCTGCCACAAGGATACTGATAAAATAGCGAAGGTTTTTAGGGGAGCAAGAAGAGACTTGTAAAAATATTAGAAAACAGATGAGGGAGTTTCATCTGCTTATCATTTACACAAGAACATGCTAAAACATTAAGTTAAGAAACAGGTTAAGTCATGACCGGCTTGAATATACACAGAACAACACAGTGACAATTAGAACTTCAATCCATCAAAGTAAAATGAAGTTACATCCTATGCTCAAGATTAAAACTCAGCATACTCAATCTAGAAATGAAGTTCACATTTTAAAAGCTACATTCAAATCTTAAAATTGGCTGATTTTCTCCAATGTGTTTTTAGTTTAAACAATAACTAATTCATAGATGTTTCATGATCTACAGAGAACAATTTAAGATTCTGACCACTACAAATCAGTGAATAGTCTCCTTATAAAAGGAAAATGAAATATATTCTTTTATTGATAAGCTACTTACTTCGGCATGTTTTCCCATCTTGCCTTAGTACAAATCCATCATAGCATTGGCAAGTGTATGAATCTTCATTATTAACACAAAGATGTTCACAGCCATGATTGACTGATTTGCAGATGTCCTTATCTAGGAATAATTTAGTTTTTATTTACTACAGTTTGAAGAATGACAACATTTCCAAAACTTTAAAGACTAAAAGTAATAAGCTCCTAGTACATAAAGAATTTATCCTCCTTTTTCTTAGGCAAATGCCCCATTAGAAGACCTATCTCTAACACAGTATGTTTCTTCAGTAGACCTCTGAGTGCAAAAAATACAGTAACACAGAATAACTTACTTTTACAGGTTTTCTTATCTTCCCTCAATATAAAGCCCTCATAGCACTGGCAAACGTATGAACTATCAGTATTCACACAAACATGCTCACAGCCATGGTCAAGAGAATTGCAAACATCTTTATCTGGAAAAAAAAAAAATAAGGTTGCCAGTATTTAACATGTGTCTACAAATGCACAGATTATGAAGAAAATCTTCTATTAAAGATAAGGATACTTACTTCTACATGTTTTTCCATCTTCCCTTAGTGCAAATCCCTCATAACACTGGCAAACGTATGACTCATCAGCATTAACACAAACATGGTCACAGCCATGGTCAACTGAACTGCAAATGTCTTTATCTGAGAATAGTTGATGATATTTGATTAAAACATATCTACAGCAAATATATCATACAGGGAGAAGCAGTAGCTTTTATTAGGTCTGCTGATACCACCGGAAGAAATGGGCAAAAATTTAGGCAACAAACACTTCTAACCCTTCATACCCGAAAACTTGCCTTTTTTTTGTCTCCAGTCATATTGGTTTAGCTAAGTCATATTGGTTTGGCTATTAAAACACACTATTTCTGTCCACAGAGTCTCTTACAAGCTTCTGGCAAGTATAACAATACAACTCCTATAATATAACAGTAAATGGGTGGTGTTGTATTTGTTAGAACACTTCCAAAAATCTACATCCTGCAGATAAAAGTGTATGAATAATTATTAGAGTACTTACTTCTGCATGTTTTCCCATCTTCTCTCAGCAGAAAACCCTCATGACACTTGCAAACATACGAGTCCCCTTCATTAACACAAATATGCTCACAGCCATGGCTGACTGATTTGCAGATGTCCCGTCCTGGGAATGATTGATACAAATATAGGTTTCACATGAAAACATGTTAAAACAATGTAGACATTAAAAGGAAGGCTTCTTCTTTTCCAGTAAGAGGTGAAAAAAACCCTTTCTTTCCTTGCCTGGTGCACATGCAAAAATGCTCAACAGACACTGGTCACTCACTTCTGCACGTCTTGCCATCTTCTCTCAATACAAATCCCTCACGACACTTGCAGATGTAGGAATTGTCAGCACTAACACAAATGTGCTCACAGCCATGGCTGACTGATTTGCAGATATTTTTGCCTGAGAATAACAGAATAGGTAAAAAAATGTGTTAGTTAAGGGCAAGATGTTTAAAGTCTTACAATTCCCAGCTATGGAATGTTTTTGTACTTGCTAGTATACCAGACTGAATCCTGCAAATCATTCATAGCACCTCCTGTCTTTTTTTGTTGTTGTTGTTGTAACAGAAAGGTGCATCTTTGACCTGCTAATTTTACAACCTTACTACTAAGGAAAAGTGCATTGTTCCAGTTCTACAGTTTGTAGAATTTTACATGGGCCTAGCATGCAGATTAGTGACCCACAGGTATTTCCAAAGGCACCTAAATCCCACATCCAAATTTCAAATAAACTTTCTGGTGAGAAACAGATCTTTCCATCATCATCATTTTATCTTCAGTAATGAACATTCTCAAACCTGAAATAGTTTTGTTGGTTTTTTTCCTATGTGCTTAAGTTCAGAAGGTGTTTGTCATTTTTATCTAAAGTAGGAGTACAAAAATATATGTAGCATTTAAGCACAGCAAGAAAGACAAATTAAATTACCCTGCCATGAAATTCTGCAAAATTGACAGCTATAATTGGTAATGCAGAAGTTCAGTGGGCATTTCTGATACAGAATTGAGAAACAATTAATATTTTAAAATAAAATAAAATCTATTAATCAATGATAGATAAACTATCATCTTGCTTTCACTTCCTTCCCCACACCCTTTATTTTTACTGCAAGGACAGAATAGAACAGAATCTTTCAGCTGGAAAGGACCTACAGCGATCATCTAGTCCAACTGCCTGACACTTCAGGGCTGACAAAAAGCTAAAGCATGTTGTTAAGGGTAATGTTCAAATGTCTCTTGAACCTTGACATGCCTAGGACATCAACCACCTCTTTAGGAAGTCTATTCCAGTGTTTGACCACCTCTCAGTAAAGAAATACCTCCTAATGTCAAGTGTGAATCTCCCTGGGTGCAGTTTTGAACTACCCCCATGTGTCCTATCACTGGATACCAGGGAGAAGAGCTCAGCACCTCCTGCTCCACATTCCCTGCTCAGGAAGCTGTAGAGAGCAATGAGGTTGCCCCTCAGGCTCCTTTTCTCCAAACTAGACACAACCAAAGTCCTCAGCTGTTCCTCACAGGTTACTCCTTCCAGCCCTTTCACCAGCTTTGTTGCCCTCCTCTGGATGCATTCAAGGACCTTCACATCTTTCTGAAAGGGTGGGGCCCAGAGTTACACACAGAGCTCAAGGTAAGGCTGCACCAATGCAGAACACAGCAGGATAATCACCTTTTGTGCCTGGCTGGTCATGCTGTGTTTGATGCCCCCAGGATGCAGTTTGTCCTCGTGGCTGCCAGGGCACATGGCTAGCTCAGTTGAGCCTGCTGCCAACCAGCACCCCTGGATCCATTTCTGCAGGGCTGCTCTCCAGCCACTCCTCTCCCCATTTATAGTTGTGCCTGGTGTTACTACATCCCAGGTGCAGAATCCAGCATTTGGACTTGTTACATTTCATCCAATTAATCATTGTCCAATGCCCCAACCTGACTAGATCCCTCTGGACTTCTACAGGGACAGAACATTTCACTTGCTTTTAGGCAATCAAATCCTACCTTACAGATTTTTTCTATGTGCGTAACAAAAATTTAGCTCTGAGTTGCTGGGCAGCAACTTACGTTTACAAGTTTTCCCATCGTTCCGAAGCCGGTATCCCTCAAAGCACTGGCAAGTGTAAGATCTGTCGCCATTTACACATAAATGTTCACAGCCATGATCACTCAAAGCACAATAGTCAACTCCTGTAGGAGCAATTGATGTTATTAAAAAAAAGGTAACAAATAGTGAATTTGTTATTTGCCTCTCTAGAATTTGCATGACATATAAGCAAGTAAATGTGAATACACTGAACTGCTTAAACAATAACCCAGTACTTTATCTGGTAGCATAGACACCACTTCAACAAACTGTAAGAGGGCCTGTGGTGTATTTCTCAATGGTTGATTTAAGCGGAGTTGAGAAATCATAATTTCCCATGCTCAACATAACTCAACAGCCTCCACATCTCATTCACAAAAGGAATTTAAAAAACAAAAAACCAACCAGTAATTTTATATAAAGCAGCTGGCAAAGACAAAAAAGTTACTCTGTAAACATTCTGCTTCAAATACAGCCCCGAAATGGCTGATGTGGAGGTGGCCATCCCCAGAACTCACTTGTGTGCCTGACCCAGCTGCAAGCAGAAAACCTCCCCAGGGACCTCAGTAGGCTTTGGATTAGATGCAAAGAATTGCAAATGACAAGTGCTGTTAAATATGGTCCATTTTTCATCTCAGGTTTCCTAAGTGTTTCTTCTCTGTCATACAAAGACCCCTGGGATCCTGCAGGCAGCACTTGCTATTGGCTACACACAGAGTGTCACTCATTTATTATTTTTGTTTAATTAGTTGCCAGAATAGAAATCTGTTTACCATTCAGGTGTTCCCACAGCTGTCTTAAAGTACTTGTGCCTGTGCATATGACACTATAATTGTAATTCCCAGATATTTTCCCTTTTGGAGTGGTATATGCTAAATGCCAATGACTTCCATTCAACTGCTCATTGAGGAAACCACAGAGTGCCAAAACTCTTTTCATGATACCCTAAAAATGTCCACCAGGTTTTAACAACTCAATCTGGAGCTCAGGAATACGAAAAATCTCTTTCCTAAATCTGCATGAGGAGAGGGTATGCTGATAAGAAGAGGAGCTCTTAAAACAGGCTCAGCTTCACTGAACAGAGGGATTCCAGAAGTCACAGCAGTGATTAATGCTGCTGATAGGTATCCAAGTACAGCTAGGATAGCTATGCAGGATATTAAGATGGCTGAGGTTCTCAATGACTTCATTCCATCAGTCTTCTATGGCAAGTGCTCCAGTGCCATTGCAGCAGGTGAAAGCAGGGACTGGGAGAAGGACTCCCAGTATAAGAACAGGTTCATGACCACCTAAAGAACCTGAAGGTGCACAAGTCTATGGGACCTGATGGGGTCCATTCATGGGCCTTGAGGGAGCTGGCAGATGCAGCTATTAAGCCTCTGTCCATCATATTTGAGAGGTCATGGTGTCCTGGTGAAGTTCCCACCAATTGGAAAAGAGGTGACATAGCCCCTACTTTTAAAAATGGGAGAAAGGAAGACCCAGGGAACTACAAGCCACTCAGTCTCAGTTCTGTGCCTGGCAAGGTCATGGAAAAGATCCTCCTGGAAAATCTACTGAGGCACATGGAAAATGAGGAAGTGATTTGTGACAGCCAACATGGCTTCACTAAGGGCAAGTCATGCCTGACCAATCTGGTGGCCTTCTGCAACAAGGCTACAGAGATGGTGGATGGTGGCAGAGCAACTGACTTATCTACCTGGGTTTGTGCAAGGCCTTTGACACTCTCCCACATGACATCCTGGTCTCCAAACTGACAAGGCATGGATTTGACAGATGGACCACTTGGTGGATAAGTACTTGGCTGGATGGCTGCACCCAGAAAGTTGTGGTCAATGGCTCAATGTCCAAATGGAGGCAGGTGACAAGTGGTGTCCCTCAGGGGTCAGTACTGGGACTAGTGCTGTTCAACATCTTTGTTGGAGACATGGACAGTGGGATTGAGTGTATCCTCAGCAAGTTTGCTGATGATACCAAACTGTGTGGCGTGGTTCACACCCAAGAGGGAAGGGATGCCATCCAGAGGGACCTTGACAGGCTGGAGAGGTGGCCAGTGCCAACCTCATCAAGTTCAACAAGGCCAAGTGCAAGGTCCTGCACCTGGGTCAGCACAACCCCAGGCACAAATACAGGCTGGGGGGAGAATGGCTGGAGAGCAGCCCTGAGGAGAAGGACTTGGGGGTGGTAGGTGATGAGAAGCTCAACATGAGCCACCAGTGTGTGCTGGAGCCCAGAGAGCAACTGCATCCTGGGCTGCATCAAAAGAAGTGTGGCCAGCAGGGCCAGGGAGGTGATTCTGCCCCTCTACTCTGGTGAGATCCCACCTGGAATACTGCGTACAGTTCTGGGGCCCTCAGCACAAGAAAGATATAGACCTGTTGGAGAGGGTCCAGAGAAGGGCCATGAAGATGACCAAAGGCCTGGAGCACCTCTGCTATGAAGACAGGCTGAGAGAGTTGGGGCTGTTCAGCTGGAGAAGAAAAGGCTCCAGGGAGACCTTATAGCACCTTTCAGTACTTGAAAGGGACCTACAGGAAAACTGGGGAGGGGCTTTTCATCAGAGAGGGAAGTGATAGGACAAGGGGTAATGGTTTTAAACTGAGAGAGGGGAGATTTAGGTTAGATATAAGGAAGAAATTCTTCACCATGAGGGAAGGCACGGGAATAGGTTGCACAGGGAGGTTGTGGAAGCACTCAGATTCCTCCTGTTTAAGGCCAGGTTGGACAAGGGCTTGTGCAGCCTGGTCTCGTGTGAGGTGTCCCTGCTCATAGCAGGGAGGTTGGAATCTGATGATCTTCAAGGTCCCTTCCAACCTTAACCATTCTATGATTTTATGATTATTTTTCCAGTGAAGGAGACAATTTGTGAAACTGCAGTGATTCTCAATGATCATTAGATTTATAAAGGATGGAGTGCTGTCAAGACAATTTTTGTTCACTCATTAAAGGTTTGCAAGCAAAATGTAAATCTCAGTGTGGGACTCTCATCTCCTCCTGCCCCTGGTAAGTGATGAAGTTTGCCTGGAGGACACTGCTGTCAAGATGACCTGTCAGTCAGACACAATACTCATGTGACTAAAAAACTGTCCTCAATGGCTGGGAATGAACAGATCTTCCAAACCTTTTCTGAATATGTGAGAGTTTAGTTATCTTGACAAGTATCCTCTTGTAAATTCTTTTTCTGCTTTTTTTTTCCTTTCAAATAATTTTTAAAAAAATATCAAAACGCAGACTGTAAGAATAAATTGAAGGTGTGTCCTCTTCCCTGTATGAAAACAGAAACCTTTCCCAGGTGAGCAGAGATCAAAGAGCTTCTCAGAAGACTTACGTGTGCAGGTTTTCAGGTCCTCATTGATGACAAACCCTTCAGAGCACTGACAGATGTAGGAGTCACCAGTATTTAGGCACAGCTGCTCACAGCCATGATTGCTTTCAGCACAGTGATCCACTCCTGTTGATTTGTGTTAATAATTGAAGAAATCACACTGGAACCTTGGATCCATACATTATATTCCTACACTTAGTACACAATGCATTTGCAGAGCCGGTAGAAAAGATCAGTACAGCCTTTTATCTACGCTCATTTTTTACTCTATTTGAGTAACCTGAGTTAATTAACAACACCTAAGTGAAATGAATACAACAACCCCAGTTGGCAGATGACAAACTTGATAAAGTGTAGATCTTCCCTTGCCAAAAATCACAAAAGGAAACCAACGCAAAGTGGAGTGAAGGGAGAACCTTTAACTTCCACTTGGTTTTACCACAGATTCATGCTTTCTTTCTTGAAAAGCAGGAGTCTCTCTGCTGTTCACCATAAAATTTCTCAGAGAGACAGCATGAATATCAGTAACTCTTGAAATAGAAATTATGGCTTTCAGTTTATTTCATAAACAGTAAATTCTTTTTCAACAGGATGAGAAATCACCAAATTAAAACTTGTACCTGCCAACAGGTTCAAGCAGTTAAAGCCTAGTGGGGGACAGATACAAACTGTGAGTGTGAGAGTGTCTTAATGTGATCCTTTTCTTTGATTTTCCTATTCCTATTCCAAGTAAAATAAAAGGGAGTATTTTTTAGTCTTGTATGCAACTGCTTGTGTGAAAGATGAAGGGTAAGGAAAGGGAGAGAGAGGTGTGAATTTGGTTTAAAAATGATACTGTCTCCTAGAATGGACAGCAAAGCAGTAGTGTGAGATACGTGTGCTTGCAGGTGTACTGTGTAACCTGCTGACTCTGTAAGTACAGAAAAAGCACATTTTAGGAAAAAATCTTTATACTGAACTTCCTCATAATATTTTATTGCCAAGTTGCTAATGGCTATTTTTAGTTACATTGGCCCAAATTACTTTAGTTTAACTTGATCAAAAGTAGTGGAGTTCCCTCAGACACAAACACAGTCTTCTATGTCTCTATTTGCAAATCTTTTACAGATGTGAACAGGCATGTCCGAAGCTATTTGTTTACATTAAAAAAAATAAATAAATCTGTACTTAATGTAAAATTACTTTGTTCTAAATATTGCTTTTATTAGTTTATTTAACTAAGCAACGAGTTTGCAGTAATTGATCCAGATTTACCCTTACACATAGACAGAGATAATATTGGCTTGAACAAGTGAAGCTGAGGTGTCAGTTTTTACTAGCTAAAGCAAGTTCCAGCTGGAACATTCTCATTTTTCCAAGAATTTACATCATTATGAAGAGGCTTGTGTAACTTCTCAGAGCACACAAAAACTGTGGAA